CGGACACCCTTCGAGCTCAGTAATGAAGTCATCCCTGAGGTTCACCCTTCATCCAAAATTAGACGGGCCCATAAAACAAGATGAGACTAAAGGGGCACACCCGCCCTGGGGCAAGGACTAGAAAGCAAGAAGGGACAGGAAAACTGGCAATAAGGAACCCATGGTCAAGAAGGGAGAGTGTTGACGTGCTGTGGGGTTATTAACCATTGCCATAAAACAATATATGTACTCACTGTGCAATGAGGAGCTAGTTTGTTCTGTAAACCTTCATCTAAAGTACAATAAAAAAAAAAAAAGTTGTCTCTTTGAGGACTAAGCTCTGTCTGACCCAAGCCATGATATTTTCAACCGACTCATATGCATGCAAAAGCTGCATGATGAGTAAGAAAGACTGAAGAAGGATTGATGCCTTTGAATTATGGTGTTGGTGAAAAATATTGAAGATATCATGGATTGTCAGAAGAACGAACAAATCTGTCTTGGAAGAAATACAGTCAGAGTGCTCCTTGGAAGCGAGGATGGCAAGATTTCATCTCACTTACTTTGGACACATTATCAGGAGGGACCAGTCCCCAGAGAAGGACATCATGCTTGATAAATTAGAGGGTCAGTGAAAAAGAGGAAGACCCTCAATGAGATGGATTGACACAGTGGCTGCAACAACGGGCTTAAGCATAACAACAACTGTAAGGATAGCATAGGACCGGGCAGTGTTTCTTCGTTCTGTTGTGCATAGGGTCGCTATGAGTCAGAACCGACTTAATGGCACCTAACAACAGGATTATCCTAGTTGCTATGTGAAGAATGAGTCTGAAGGAGGAGGCAAGAATGGATGCTGAAAGACCATTAGGGAGCTTTTGGAGAAGTGCAGGTGAATGAGTGCTAGACAGGATGGCCATGGTGGTAATGATGAGAAAGCTGTATTTTGCAGGTAGAAATGACACACAAATTGATAAAGAAATGCCTGGCATATTGGAAAGGTGAGTGAGAGAAAAAGAAGACTTAAAAATAATTTAGATTCTGGGTTAAGCAATTAGGTGTTACCATTTGTTGAGATGGGATAGACTCAGAGATGAGCAGATTTGAGAGCTGGCAAAATCAAGAGTTTAGTTTTGAGCATGTGAATTTTGAGAGTCCTAAAGTCCTGGGTGTGCAAACAATGTGTGTTCGGCTGGTAACCAAAAGGTTGGCCATTTGAGCCCACCCAGCAACACTGTGGAAAAAAGGCCTGGCGATCTGCTTCCGTAAAGACTACAGCCAAGAAAACCCTATGGAGCAGTTCTACTCTGTAACACATGGAATCACCATGAGTCAGAATCAACTCGATGCCACAAGGCATTAGTCTCTCAAACAGAGCAGTCCGGTAATACCAAAACCAGTTGTCATTGAGGCAATTTCGATTCACGTGGCCTCATGTGTGTCAGAGTAGAACTGTGCTCCATAGGGTTATTCAGTGGCTGATTTTTCGGAAGTAGATCACCTGGCGTTTCTTCCGAGACATCTCTGGGTGGGCTTGAACCTCCAAACTTCCGGTTAGCTGTCAAGTGCATTAACCCTTTGCCCCGCCCAGGCACTCCAGAGCAGTCAAGTAGACAGTATGATGTACAAGTCTGGTGAGTGAGGCCTGAGCTGGAATTGCAAGTGACAAAAACCCCCCTCAACCAGCATGAGCAAAACAAATAAGTAAATGAAAACTAAAATAAAATGACTGATGAACCTGGGCTCACATCACCAGTAAACGCAGACACTGGCTTCAGGCACAGCCAGATTCAGAGACCCAAACAGTGGCATCAGGCTCTGCCTCTCTCCATCTCTCAGCTCTTCCTTCCTCCATTTATCATCTTAATTCTGCCACCAGCTTGTTCCATTGCAGGGAACGAGGGCCACCATCTAGTAGTCCCTACTGTGCAGGAGTCCAAAGAAAGAGGAAAAGACTTTTCCCACTGTCCGTATAATGAGTCTTAGGGAAGATTCTGATTGATCCAGTTTGAGTCACAAGCCCATCCCTGAACCTATCATGTAACCAAAAAAACAGAGAACTTGACTAGTGTGAGTTGAGAGCAGAGAACTTGACTAGTGTGAGTTGAGAGCCCACCCCGTGGGCCAACTGGGAAGGAAGGGGCAGAGCACAGTGATAGGCTTACCAAGCCCTGATGGATGAAAAGAAGTTGTTCCCTCAAAGAATAAGCAGGGTACTATATCAGACAGCCAACTACGGGAGTAGACTCCAACTCATGGCGACCCCATGTACGACCGAACAAAACATTGCCCCGTCCTGCGCCATCGTCACAATCGTTGTTATGCCCGAGTCCATTGTTACAGACACTATGTATTTTGAGTGCCTTCCAACCTAGGGGGCTCATCTCCTAGCACAATATTGCACAAAGTTCTGTTGTGACCCATAGGGTTTTCATTGGCTGATTTCTGGAAGTAGATTACCAGCCTTTTCTTCCTAGTCTGTCTTAGTCTGGAAGCTCGGCTGAAACCTGTCCATCGTGGGTCACTCTGCTCGTATTTGAAATACCAACAGCATAGCTTCCAGTATGAGAGCAACACGCAAGCCAGCACAGTATGACAAACTGACTGGTGGTCATTTAGCAGGTCTCAGTATAGCAGCACACACGGGGTCGCCATGAGTCAGAGTCAACTCGACAGCCAGTGGCAGTGATGGTGCAATAATACAGTAGCTGGCATTTACCGTAAGTCAAAACAGGCTTAGTGATGGAGCTGGGATACAAGTCCAGGCAGTCTGGCTCCAGAATCTGTGTGTACCACCTCCCTATGAACAGATCTAAGGTGTTAGGAACTGCTGCTTTTGATATCCCTTAAATGCTGATGGGAACTAAGGGCTGAAAGACTCATTTGTTGTGTTTTTATTGTTGTTTCCTCTTGGCATCTCCCTTGAGCCCCAGTGAAAGATGGTGCCAGCTTTGCGCACTCCCAGCAAGTATTCTATTGGATGGAGAACCTTGTTTAAAGGATGTAAGTCCTATGCCTTTTGTAAATGACAGAGCCATTTAATATTACCTGTGTTCACTCATCTAGTATAATCCTAGTCAATACCTAGATAAAACCATAGGACACTAGAGCTGGCACCTCAAGATCTCTCACCCAAATCCTTTTTACAGCAGGAGTAGGACCCACTGATGAAGCAGGAGAAAAGTGGGGTGCAGAACTCAAATTCTAGTAAAAAGACCAGACTTAATGGTCTGAGACTGGAGGAATCCCAGAAAGCATGGCTCCCAGACTCTCTGTCACCTCAGAACTGAAACCATTCCCGAGGCCAGCTCTTCAGACAGATTAGACTGGACTATGGAACATAAAATGATACTCGTGAAGCGTGTGCTTCTGAGCTCAAGTAGATACAAGAGGCTAAACGGGCAGCTTCTGTCTGGAGGTGAGATGAGAAGGCAAGAGGGTCAGGAGCTGGTTAAATGAACACGGGAAATCGGGTGGAAGGGAGTGTGCTGTCACAGTATAGGGAGAGCAACTAGGGTCACATAACAATGTAAGTATCAAGTTTTGTATGACAGACTAAGTTGAATTGTAAACTTTCACTTAAAGTACAAAAAAAAAAAAAAAAAAAAAGAGTAGGACCCAAAACAGGCGTGTTGACCAGTGTCACACAGGCAGGAACTTGGTGGAAGCAGCAGGACCGGGACCAGGACCAGGCCGCCCAGCACCTAACTCATTGTTCTTGCCGCACTACACACAAAGGCAGCTGCAGGTGGAGCAGCAAGCATAAGGCCTTCACAGTCACAACGGCAAGAGCCCTGGTGGCACAGTGGTTAAGTGCTCAGCTGCTAACAGAAAGGTGGGGGGTTCGAACTCATGTTGTCAAACCTCTTCATGATTTTTATGTTAACTTCTGAGCCTCGGCTATTCTTTGATGAAACAGGGAAACTTGTATTCACTTTGGAGTATTATAATAAATACATTCAATCACGTCATGAATATTTGAATATGGGTACAGAATTGGGTGTCAGGTACCAAAGACACATAAATGAACAAGAACCTTCTGGCCTGGGCCTTCGCGGAGAGTTTTAGTGGGAGCAGAGATACACACGGAGTTACCATTATGCTGTGCATTAAGAGAGGTACTGGGTGCCAACTATGGGACACACTGAAAGTAAAATCACTAGCATACAGCAGGAACTCAAAAGTTGCAGTTCTTTCCCTTTCATAAAATAGAGGCAGTCCTTTCTTTAAACATGTTCCAGAAGCATCTTGAGGGTGTTACTATTACAAGCATTCATGGAACTAATAGCAGAAGGCATGACTTTACCAAACACAGGTCATACCAACCTCACTTCCCTTCCCCTTTCTAATACTAGTAATCCAGGGAGAGAAAGGTGCACTAGGTAAGTTCTCACCTTCCAGTTATCAGAGGGAGTGAAATACCACCAGTCCAGAAGTTTATGGAGAACAAATTAAGGCAAGTTCCATGTGTGGTTAGTGTTCTAAGGTGTTATAACATGACGACTTTATAATTTAGTATATAAAGTACTATGCTTTTATGTATCATAATGTTAGTTACAGACATGACTGGAAATACAGTTCATATTCCTTCTGGACTTTAGGAAGAAAATTTCAACTCCCTACTATTATTTCTTTCCCACAATAAAGCAGAAAAATGATAAGGCATTATAGGATTATTAATCTCCTGACACACACATTCACAGTGCAACCTTCTTGTGATGACTGCTAGAGTCCTTTATCGACAGTCAAAACACTTCATGCTTACAGTTGTAATGTTTCTTTCATGAACGATTAAGTGAAAACTCTCCCGAACCTTTAAGAGCTGTAGTGTGTAATTGCTTTGATGCACACCTTACGAGACAGGACATTAGCTTGCTGGGATCGTTAGGTATGACTGGTAATGAGAAACAGTAATTTATAAAATATTCACTAATCATTTTCCCAAACAGTAGTTCCCCAAAATTGAAACAGAAAATAAGACTTGTATTTACACCTAGTTTTAGATATGATTCACAACACACATCAATCTAAATTTTATTTAAAAGGTGCTCAATACAGACACAAACCTCACTTTAATATCATGAATTTGAGAGTGCAATCAAGCGGTAATTTCTCAACATGAAAGTTTAATTATTACACTACAGTTCAAGCCACAATACTATTTCACAGGCAGGAGTTGTTCTGCGTCCTTGTGTCCTTTCAGCACCTGTCATTCAGAGGCTCTTCTGGCACATCGGTGACGCGGGTGGGCGGGCCCTGCTGCGTCATCACAAGCTCCCCTTGGATGAAAACTACACGTTCTTTCGGAAGAAACTGCACTTTTACTTTCTTCTCTTCTCTCTTATGAAAACGGGGCCCCACAGAATCCTACATTCTCATTTTCCGCTGGATGATTAAAGTCTGTAGTTGGTTTAAGTGACCTTGATCTCTTAAACAAACCTACCCGACGGGGAGGAAAATGCTCTACTGAAGCAGCGTGCTTTCCTCCTCCTTCCACTGTTCTCTCAACATAAACTCAAAGCAAAAATAGAGCCCCACAGAAATTTCAATATTGAATAGTTTTGCAATCTTAAAGCTTAGTAGGAGCCCAAAAGCTTTATATAAATCAGTAATCTCTGCATAAATTTGTTAGTTCCATACAAAGCAAGATCTAGTTGACTACTACTTGTATTCAAAAGCGCGTCTTTCGAAAGGACCCTAGTTTTCTAGCTGGTCTGTTTAAACACTGTTTACATAGACAAGCAGTAATCACATGACTCCCATCTGAGCCCCATGAAAGTCACGGCTGTGGTATATAAAGAATGGCAATCACAGTCTCCAGCTTTCTCAATGAATGAACACAAACATAAGTGCGCGCGCACACACAGAGTCATCAATGGTCTCACCAGCACTGCTGACAATCCTGAAAGCCTGAATAGCTTTCTAATTGGATTCTAAGAGAAAAGTGCCTTGAATTTTTTTTAAAAACTTCAGTCTTCAATATTGAAACTTCTAAGTTACTCCATTTTTCCATGAAAAAAAAATACATATATAACAATTATGTTGGGGGAAAATTAAAAATAGAAAGATGAAGTTGGGAAGACTTCCTGTTACTAAATAGGTTTAAAAGAAAACCTATATAGAGAATATTCCAATAGCATTATTTATAACAACAACTGGAAACAGGCAAAATATCCAGTAATACAGCCAGTAAAATAAATTCGGAAATGTCCAATGGATAAAACATCACACATCGATTAAAATCATTAGGAAGAGGATGAACATCATGGGGGAATGCATGACAATGGGTTAACCAAATACAAAAAAGGATCCCTGCTACATTTACATAGAATACAGCTCAGTTTGCAAGAACTAAACAGGAACAGAATTTGACATGCGGTGTCACTGTCTTGTGGGTATATTTTTCCTTTACTGAAAAACAACACAATATATAGTGATTGTACATTTTGGAAAAGAAAATGAAAAACAACAAAAAAGACAGAATAACTCAAAAGCACATCTTGGAAAATAATTGGTTCTGAGGGAGGAGTGAGGCCAGCCTCGTCCTGAGGTCAGTTTGCCCTCCTGGGGAGGGCTGTGCTTGACCGAGGGACGCTCAGGAAGGAGGTGTCATGCAGGGGCAGGAGCCTGGCCAGAAACATCTGTGGTCTAACTTCTGTCATCGATTTTATCAACAAGGCCCGAATTTGTCCACTTTGAGCACTTTTATACGATACATTTATCTTAAGGACAAAATTTCACATTATAGTTTTCATATTTGAAAAATTCAAAAACACAACTATCTTTTTATAATAAAGCAGTTCTCAATTACCAATCTAGTTTTTCTTTTTTTTTAAATATGTGTTAACTCTGTGAAACATGGGGCTATCCACAATAAAGACCACTGGGTGATATCTATCAGACGTTATAGTAGGCAGAGGATTACTTACAGAAAGCCATTTTCAGTAGAAAATTGAGTAATTTCCCTTGGGTGGATTTTACTGTCAAGCTGGGGCAAGACTAGATTTTCTATAATTGCAATAGAAGAGGATTAGAAAGGCTTCCCTACGGGTCCCAATCATCTAGGGATGGAATATTTTTGATGGGTTTCATGATGACAATTACAACCTCCTAGGCTATCTTCGCTATGAGTTGGAATTGACTCGACGGCAAAGGGTTTTCTTTTTGGTTAGGCTCTCAGCTCTCTGAAGACAACATTCAATCAAAAAATTAAATCATGCAAAGCATTCAATATTTTCACAACTGCCCAATAACAAAATTTTAAAACAACCGAACATTCATAGCATTAAATTCTGTTTATCACATATTTGAATAAGCAACATTTAAGAAATGATATACAATAAAGCAGCTTATTAGTATATTGCAATACTCTACACCACTACAAAAATAGTCATCAAGAGCTTGACCTACGCAGTACAATGATAATGTTTTACTTTTTGCAAGCCATGTATCTTGCAGTTACGTTGTCCCAGTTGATCACCTTCCAAATAGCTTTTAAGTAATCAGGTCTGACATTTTTATACTGAAGGTAATAAGCATGCTCCCACACATCAATCCCCAGCAGTGGAATAAGACCTATAGGGAAAGAAGAAAAAAAAAGCAAACACTGAATTTCAACCTAAAAGGCTGCATCTTCTCAATTTAAACTTTAACTAACCTATGCACCCAAAATCATCTGCTACAACATTCTCATTCACGTTTCAGTTTCTTATATAATAGGAAATCTGCATTAAGAATAAACATTCTTATTAAAAAGATTTTAAACTTTCCTCTTTGGAAGAAAATGTGATATAGTAAAAATGGTTAAGACAGACTTGGGGAAATCAATTAACCATAGTTATCATAATAAAAACTTCATTGATTCCGACTCATAGTGACCCTACAGGACAGAGGAGAACTGCCCCACAGGGTTTCCAAGAAGCAGCTGATAGATTGGAACTGCCAACCCTTTGGTTAGCAAACTTAGGTCTTAACCACTTTGCCACCAGGCCTCCACGGTACCGTGCCAGCTGTTCTTAAATACCAGTAACAGATTCATTAGAGCCAATTCTCCCAGTGTTCCTAACTGGCAGTCTCAAAAGCCTCAGTTAGGGCGCATTAGGGTTATGGGGCTGAGTGAGGACTCCCAAGCATCTCTTGCAAAGTATCTGAGCACTCATCCAGGTTATGAGAAACTGCTCTGCTCCCCAAGGCTAATTTTAGTCATAGGGAATACAAAGAATTCATGAGAAATTAATAAAGAATAAGTTAGTAAGGGAAACTGAATAAGACTAAGGAAAAAAATATGTCTTCAGAAATTAAGTAATAATAGATGAAGAACTTAGTTGTATCTAGAAAACATTCACTTTAGAAAACTCTCAAACTAAATGATAGCTCTCCTCTATGAAAATAATTCTCAACCAGTGTGTCTTGATCAGTTGTGAGGTCTCTAATTAAAGTGGTAAATTTATAAATTATTTTTCCCATAAATAAATTACCATCGCTTTCATTTCTTTTCATTCCAACGGGCTTTCTTTAGTAGGAGGGGGAGAAGTGTAGTTAGGATTTACCTATAAATCACAGCCTCTCCAGTCGGGTGCCTTTATGTATATACCTGACCCTTGACAGTTATTTAGGGCTCCCAAATCTTTTGTGGCTTTTACAAATTCTCATTGCATCTCACTTTCCCAAAAGAGCTATTTAGATTCCAGCAAAACCTAAGAACATCCAGGGAACTGAGTCATGCAAGCAAGTCTCCTGACATATGATGTCGTAGAAAAAGTGGGTGAGAACTACTGCTTTATAACGTGAGGGCATCGCTTTAGATTCTTCACCTCAAAGATCAAAAGTGCAGCTAACTGCTGGTTGGCTTATGGTTCTATTTCCATACTCTTAAATGACATGTTAGAAAGGGCTTCTAGTTCACTTTGGCTCAACATAAAATAGAATAAAAAAAAAAAGATCTGGTGAACCCAGCAAGGAGCTTCTAAGCAAAATATCGTCCTCTACCAAAGACCCCTAATAAAGGCAGAAATCTGGGAACTTGAGTTCTAGTCTCAGTTTTACAACAAAAGAAGTTTGAAAGGCAGTGCTCAGCCGAAGGGATGACAGTGCAAACTCTGCAGCCAGACTGAGCTTGGATTTCTTTTCCTTGCTCTTGTTTATCCAACCTATTTTTATTTTAGTGTACGTATCATGTAAGCTTATGCTAATTATCTGTAGAAAGAAGCAGAGTTTTATGTTTAAAACATTTTTGTTGTTGTTGTTAATTACATGCACTTATTTTACAAAATGTCAAGGACTTTAAAAGCATTTTTGTGTACACAAAAGACCCTGAGTATCATCCGTTAGGAGCCCTGGTGGCGCAGTGGTTAAGAGCTACGGCTGCTAACCAAAAGGTGAGCGGTTCCAAACCACCAGCTGCTCCTTGGAAACCCTACAGGGCAGTTCTACTCTGTCCTAGAGGGTCACTAGCAGTCGGAATCGACCTGACAGCAACAGCTTTGATTTTTGGTTTTTATCATCTGTTAAGATTTCCTCAAATTATTACACGGCCATGATAAGTTCAAACACTGCTAATTTTCCTTATTTCTAGTTAAATTCCTTGTAATAAACTCTCTCTCCTAAAGACATCTCTAACAATCTTCATATCTAACCTGTTGTTCCTTCCAGTGGGTCCTGATTAGAACAAGCGGCAATCTGTAAGAGTCCCCGTTCCTTGTTGAAACCAAGCCAACCCCAGCCTGAACCCTGAACGCCAACACACACAGCTGTCAACTTCTTCGTAAACTTCTCAAAGGAACCAAAGTCACGTACGATGGCCTCCAGCAATTCCCCTATTAAAAAACAAAAAATCCAAAGATACCGTGTGTAAACAGAGTTCAGCTTATATTATGTCACAGATATTGAAATATTACAACTAGATAGCAGCATACAGAAGGGATACCACAACCCAGTAAGCCTACATCATACCAGTGTTCCACTGTCCTGACACCAGTATCCTAAGGTTTCACAATGTTAATATGCTTTTTCAATGGAGGCTGAGAGGGATTTCTCCACTCACTGTGCTATCTGCAGCAGGAAAGAAATAATCATTTCCATTTTTTTTTGTTTTGTCCTCTCAATAGAAACTTTTACTTTGACTTTTATCCTATCTGCTCTATGTCCCAATTAGGGAATAAAAAGTGGTAGCTGTTATGTGATTCCTTTCCAAAGCAGCCTGGATTTATCTTATAAATTATACTGTTTTAAAAAGAGTGATTTTCTCTCCTATTACTGAACTAAAAGTACACTCTAAGAACTATAACCCTTTTATTCTGTAGCAATCTAGAATATTAACACTAGGTTAAGCCTATCAACTAAATCAACTGGGCCAAAACTACTAATTCTCTTATCCCACTGGTTTAAAAGCAATCATTTATCATAGGCACAAATTATGGAATAAAGTGGTACAGATTATACAAAACAGCAGAGTACCAAAACTTCTTGGTTGAATGTGGGTATATCTGATATTCTGGCAACTCACAGATTTCTAAAGTATTAAGTCATGGTCTGAAGACCTCACGCAGAGAAAACAAACTGTCCAGCTTCCCGTACTTACGCCCCTATTCGTCATTACCTCAAAATGAAACTGCTTATTTCAGATGCTTAAAATATGCTGTCTTCTACAACGCGGGTTAAAAGCAAAAAAATAAAAACAGAAACAAACAAACAAAAAAAAAAAAACACAGAAACTTAGGATACATGCAAGGAGCAAGAAACGAGAGGAGAGCTGGATGCCTGCCCCATGCCTTCCCTGGGGTGAGGAAGGTGCTCATGGAGTCTGGCCCTCACAGACACATGAGAAGTTCATAAGCAACGGTCGTAAACAAGACCATGCAGCTCTGGGCTTCCCTCTTACCTGAAGCTTTTACACCTGGAAAACCCAATTTTCGGGGGTAACTGACTTTACAGTGAAGAAAAACAGTAAAATAACAGCAAAAGGAACTATTTTAATTTAATGCTTTATGTATAATAACTTTATTCTTAAAACAGTCCTTTGATTGCACCTATATCATATAAATGAAGAAACTGTATTTTCAGTGATGGTCTTTTCCTAACATGAGGTACAGTACATTTAAGCCAAATTGTATGTATATGGGGGGGGGGGCATAAGGTCTGATGATACAGCTACCTGAATGCATTAGCCATCCTTAGTTACATTCCTTCGAAAGTTACGACTTCATTGCACTTCTTGTTACAAAAAATACACCAGTAGTGATCCTCAGAGAGAATTAAGGTAACAAGAAAATCAACAATTGTTCCTGTTATGCACAAAATGTAGAAAAGGGTGCATCAGTGTATACCGACCTTTGGGTTCTCCACCGCCATTAGGGCTCAGGTTTGTCCAGAAGATGCTATGATTAATGTGACCTCCGCCATTGAACTTCAGCGCAGGCTGGAGAGCTATCTGGGTTGTAACATCATCTGAAATGTTAAAATGCAAACACATTTTTTTTTTTTAATGCTTACTTGTTCAGCCATTCAACACACTCGTATTTTTCTTTGTAAAATGTCAGATAACTAGACCAGCTCATCTATAGCATCCCTATTGGTCCTGAAATATCACAAGTTCAGAATTCTACAAAGAAAAGGACCCTCCCGACATTACTTGTCCCAGCTGCTTTCCAGTTCAATTAATAAAAGCTGACCAACAGTGAGAGGCCCAGCAGGTTGCAAAGGTCACAGTAAATTCACTCATGATCTTCAAGGAGCTCAGGGTTTTCTTGGATAGAAAAGATTTCAGAAAATGAAGTAATTAAGACAACAGAGATAGAACATAATGGAATACTAAAATGTATGATTCAATAAATAGACTCTACAGAAATTGTTCAACTCTCATTTTCAACAGTATTTCATTGGGGAATATTTCAACGTTACTTTAACAAGAAGCCCAACATATTCAAAACTGAACTCCTGATCTCCCTCTGCCAAGCTTACTTATCCTGTGGCCTTTCCTCTCAGTGAATGCCACCTCCTCCGTTTCTTAGGACATTTTTCATTCCTTGAGGTCATTTGTGACTTCTCTCCTCTCACACCCCATAGCTAATCCACCAGCAAACCCAGCTCTACCTTCAAAACATGTCCAGAATCCAATCGCATCTTCCCACCTGTGCTGCTACTCCTCTGGCCCACATCACCGGCACCTCCCACCCGCATCACTGCCAACATCTCCTCACTGGTCTCCTGCTTCCACATCTGCCCCCGCATCGTCTGGTCTCGCCCCAGGCACCAGAGGGCTCCTCTAAAAACCTAGGCCAACCATGGCCCTCCTCTCCTCAAACCCCTGCAAGAGCTGCCCTGCTCACTCAGAGCCAACCCCAAGTCCTTACAATCAGCTACAAAGTTGCACATCATGGGACCCTCTGTGACCTCTGTCTGCATCTTCTCATTGTCGTCCTCTCCCTCACCCAAATCCAGCCACGCCGGCCTCCTGGCACTTACATGAAAAACTGAGTTTGCTCCCAGCTTAGGGCTCTGACGGACCACTCCTTCTCTCTAACTCTTCCCTCAGGTAGCCTTGTGGTTCATTCCTTCATTTTTCCTTCGGGTCTCTACTGGAAGGTCACCTGACCTGAGGCCTTCCCTGACCAAGGTACGTGAATGAGCCATTCCCCACCACTCCCTCCCTACTTTGTTTTCTGGAGGACTTATAACCATTTGCACACTACGTGTTTACTTTTTTATCATCTCGCCCTGCCAGAATGTGAGCTCCAATGAGGACAAGGATTTTTGGTCACTGCTGCATCCTCAGGCCTAAAATATTGCCTCGTATATAGCAGGGACTCAGTAGATATTTGTTGACTGACTAGATGATTCAATCTATAAAAATATAATTTCTACGAAATAAATACTAATTCTCTGGTAGCTAGAATTTAAAAAAAAGAGAGATTTCATGTTTGAAATATCTGAATGTATTCTCAAAATACTTGGGAAAGTAAATGGACACCAAAAAGACTTTCTATCAGGCTAAATAAGTAGGCCAAATATAAATTTTTCTCTAAGCCTTCAAGAAGTTACAGATTAGCTGAACTGTTAGGAAAAATGGAAATTCTCTTGCTCGATATGGAGCGCTCGCTCCTCATTCGCAAGATACCGAGAGGCAACGTGAAGGACACGGAGAACCACTGACCATAGGTGCTGCCCTCGTGGAGATTACATACTGGAAAACGCTCTCGACTGCTATTCTTAAAGCCCACATTAAAACGTGTGTGAGGAATGCGCTTTCTGAAACAATAAAGCCAAACCTGAATTGTTCAGCAATTCAGAAAGGTAAGGGGAACTGAGTGATGATCTGAGTACACAGATAATCTCTTCAGTGTCTGGGTTTGTTTTGTTGTTGTTGTTTTACACAGACCGACTGGTTTTTTGCCATGTTTACAAATTATTCTTCTTACAAGTCAGTGTTTCTCTATTAATTTTTCTAGGAGAATCATCCTAAAAATAAATGTACTTTCTATATTTTTTAATAAATCAATAGTAACTAAATTTTTCTAATAGGAAAGAAATATGTTTATTGATCATCAGTTTAACAACTTCAACATCTTAAATGAAAAAGTTTATGTAATGACTTTAAAATGTTAATAGAAATGTTGGGGTCTTAATATCTATTTTTAAGACCACTTTTCTGAAGTTCAACTTTTTTTTCTTTGATTTCACTTCAGTTTCTTTTTTCTTCTGATAAATCCAGTAAAATGAAAGTTAAATAAGTTTACTTTAAAAGTATTTGTTAGTCAGTTACATACGATGAGATGATGGATGATATTATCTTATCCATACTCTTCTTTTTTCCCAAATTTTCAAGCCTAAAAATTTAACTTTTTAATAGTTTTTAAAATACATTCTTTAAATAAAAGAAAACTCTGTAGGTCCTTATTAACTTATAGACAATATACTACAATAACGTAATGCTTTTTTTCCAGTAGCTTTCACTAAACAAGTAAAGCTTTGATGCTACATGAAAAGAGCTGAAATCAAGCTGTTTTTGAAACACTGAGAAGGTTCCTGGGCATCAGATGTTGCTGTGTAGGAAAAACTTTCACAATTGTGCTGTTCCCCCAGCCTCCCCAACAACACTTCCACATCCTTCACACATTGGTCATTTCCTAAATCATGGGACCTTTTCCCTTATTCAGGGTTCCTGATTGTCACAAGCAAATCTTCCAAAATGTGGCAACTTCCTCTTCCCGCTGAACTACTCCGTTCTCCCACTAGATGGCAGCAGTCCACAGGACAGCTTGGTCTGTAAATTACTCAAACGTTCGAAGTCTGGAATTTCATAAAAACATACTGAGGACTATATTTCTGAACTGGGTAGTTTATCAAGCTGTACATGCTCTCCGGAACATGACTGCCATGATTCTGTTCCTTGTGGAAGCCACTGATTAGTAGACTGAGGAACACAATACAGTTCAGTACAGAAACATTAAAACATAGAATTCCCATACACGCCCCCAAACACAAAAACGCCACACACTACGGGATATGTCAGTTGAGCACTTTTAAAAAAAATAACTCCATATTACATTTCAGTTGAATTACAAATATTAGTAAAGAGACTCAAGCCTGTTTCAGTTTCCCACAAAAAAGGATAGTTGCCTTGTGAACTCTGACCCCTGGATCAATTCCAGAAATGTATCCCGTCTACAGGGCCTGAACTGGTCCACAGTTAGGTAACCGCTTTTTGGTAATGAACATCACAATGCTAACTGCTCGCCTCTTCCTCTCCCATAGAAAGAAAGACAAGAGGGCTACAGAAGTCTCACAGGGCAGGGGGCTGCACAGCATATACGGAGAGCACAGGTGCTCCGGACTCCGAGTCTAGGCTGGATTCCCATCCCATCAGTCCCCAAGACAAGGACAATGGCCACAGTTGCTATCACAAGGCAGGCAGTCAATAAGGTGTTAACTCCTTTAGTCTCCCATGCTCAGTGTGGCCACTGCTTGAGACGGCTGGCCCAGCAGCTACTCTGGACTTGGAAAAGGAGACAATGAGGTTGTCAGCCTCCTCCCGCCTCTTGTCCAGGCAGCGTGGCTCAGAAAGACAAACTCTGGTCGTGGACAGCAGAGCCCCATTCTGCCACTTTCGTGGGGGGGGGATTGGTGAGGAACCCTACTTGGGAGGACACAAAGAGTTATGCTGGCACACAAGGGCACCTGCGTACCCCCGCGTCTGGGCCACAAGTGGAAAGGCCCTCTTAGCCATCTTGCAGATGGAGACCCCAGAGACCAAACATTTCCCAGAAGCACGTTACAGAATATGAACAAATTTTAATTGCTAAAATGCCAAAAAAATACAAAAACTACACCCATTGCCATAGAGTCAATTCCAACTCAAGGCAACCCCATTAGTTAGAGTAGAACTGCTCAAAGATTTTCTTGGCCGTAGTCTTTATGGAAGCAGATCGCCAGGCCTTTCCTCTCTGTTGCCGCTGGGTGGATCTGAACCGCCAACCTTTAGATTAGTATTCAAACACAAACCTTTGCACCACCCAGGGACAATATGCAAAAAGAAGTTACAAATTACAGCTTTCTTACAGCTCTACAATTCACCACTGCTAGCGATATGTGTAACGAAAATGGGACTTTTAAATGTAATCTAGCTGTTCTTAGTAACTGTAATAGTAAAACTCATAAACTTATTCATGGGATTTTAAGTTTTCTGAGGCAATAATACAAGTTCATACAAACCCATCAAG